AATTGGTTATTGATAAATTTAAGCAACACATAAGTAGGGCCAAGAGCCCACACCATACATCTTACCGTAGAACAGTGCTTATATAATCCGAAGACTTTGCTTTCTAGCAAAACATACACTTAGCTACATCCGCAAAAATCAACAGCGTTGGTTTTATTTAACTGAGCCCGGTGCGAGGCGGGGAAATCCAATAAGACGCTTAATGCCAGCTTGTGACATGGATTCGAACGACTCGGTAGTTGTGGCTTCTTAATTTAGATAATGCTAATAGATTAATGCCATTAAAGAACCCAGGGGCTTTATTCGTATCCTGCAACTGGTAATTCGCCGTGACCAATACTTATGCCATAGATATTTGTCATATGCGCATTCGCGACAACGTGCAACTTTTCCGGCGAAATCCAAGCTTCTGCTAAGTGTACAGATAACCTGACTGAGTCGGTCAAAATACCTGTCTTCTACCCCTTCAGGTTGCCATTTTCTTACATAGTTATTGTGTAGTCTTTCAAGCGCAGATAAAAGGGCCCCCATATGCGGTCCCACCCGTAGTCTGTACGGTGACTTTTCTGCCAGCGCGCAGTTTTTCGTGTTCGTTGGCGTCATTTCATTTCTTTATTGCATCGCATTGTTGTTGTTATACACTGTGTTGCACAACCATTACGATGCGGACGATCGAATAAAGAAGGCGGTACGTTTCATTTCTAGCCTATTATCGCTGTAGGATTTCCTCTCCAGTTGTTTTGTAGTTTTTATGTGGCTCCTGGGCTCTATAGCTTGGGCCAGTGGAGTAGATCAACTAAAAAGATACACTTCGGGACCCGCCCTTTATAATGAGCTTTGTGGAAAACCGCCAAGTGCAGGTTGCAAGGTGGACCCCTTGCAAACATACGCAGGACTGAATATATCCTTGGTGAGTTCCTTGTTGCCGTGTATCTCAAACTGCCCATTTTATGCTAATTTATTTGCTCGTACCCCGAATTTCTTAGTTAACTTCTCTCTTTTATGGGCTGGTGTCTTCGGTATCGATCACTCGGCTGCTGAGTAAAGTTGTCCGAGTTTAGTGAATGCCTCTCCCCCCCTCCCACTTTTTTCATGCTACGATGGC